AGACCCGAAACGTCAGCTTTCCTGCTCCTCTGATGCTGCTTGGCCTGCTGTGTTCATCCAGCTCTACACCTTGTTATCTCAGAGGATCTCGTGAGCCTGCATTGATAATTCACTGGATAGACATCTTCAGGTCCAGATAAAAACTGAAAGAACTGCGAATGCTGTAAATCGGAAACAAAAACAGATTGCTGAAAAAGCTCAGTAGGTCTGGCAGCATCTGTGGAGAAAAATCAGAGTTAATGTTTTGGGTCGAGTGACCCTTCCTCAGAAGGACTCTGATTTTCTGTCTCCAGATCCAGGTTGGACACAACCCATGGAGGGTGCTGCTCTGGCTCCATGTATGGTTCCATGTGTGTCTGCACCTGAATGGCCCTGAAGATAGCCCATGTTGTATCCATGCTGTCTCTTTGCAAAAGCTCTGTAACTAGTCCCTCTTCTGCCTGTTTCCCATAGCCTGACAAGTGTTTTCCCTTCAGGCATTCATCTCAGGTTCCTGTTCACAGAATCACTGAATTGTTTTGGTGCAGAAGAAGGCCATTTGACTGATTGTGACTCCTCATAACCCAGCATGTTGTTTCTGTTCAAATAATCATCCTATGCCCTCTTGAATGCCTCAATTGAATCTGCTTTCCTCCGTACTCCCAAGCAGGGCATTTTCAAACCCTACCACTTTCTCACTTCACATTTGCTTCTTTTGAAAAACATTTGGAAACTGTCACCTGGTTCTCAATTCTTTTATGAGCAGGAAGAACTTATTCTTAACTACTCTGTCGAGACCCCTCAAGATCTTGAAAACTTATATCAATCTCCCCTCAGCCTCATTAACCATTACTCTTTGTTTCCTATAACTGAGCTAATTTTGTATTCATATTGCTACTGTCACTTTCATCCCATGCCATATCACTTTTCTCACAATTCTACTGTGCGGCACTGTATCAAATGTCTTTTGGAAGTCCATGTACACCACATCAACAGGCTTTCCCCTTATCAACACTCTCTGTCATTTCTTTGAAAACTCCAGCAAGTTAGTTAGACACAATTTTTCCTTAATATCTTCCAAATTAACCCACATTTTTCCATATGACACATTTATTCTATCCCAAATAATTATTTTCAAAAGTTTTCAACAACAAAATTAAAGACTGTAATTTTAAGCCTATCCTTACTACCTTTCTTGAACAAAAGCATCAAAGATTGTGAGAACTGTAGATGCTGGAGTCAGAGATAACACAGTGTGGAACTGGAGGAGCACAGCAGGCCAGGCAGCATCAGAGGAGCAGGAAAGTTGATGTTTCAAGTCGGGACCCTTCTGTAGAAGGGTTCTGACCCGAAACGTCAACTTTCCTGCCCCTCTGATGCTCCTTGAACAAAAGCATATTGTTTGCAATTCTTCAGTCCTCCAGCAGCACCCCTGAAACCAGGGAAGATTGAAAGATTATTGCCTGTGCCTCTGCAATTTTCACTCTCACTTGATTCAATATTGTTTGATCCAGTCTGGGCAGCTTATCACCTTTATGTATTGACAGCTTATCCAGTATCTTCTCCTTACCAATTTTAAATCCTTACAGTGACTGGGTTTCTTTAACCGTAACCATGACCATGACCTGGGCAGCATTTGCCTAATTGGTAAAGACAGGTACAAAGTAGCTATATATCACCTCAGCCATGCCTCTTGCCTTAATGTTTAAATACCCTTTTTGATCTCTAATCAGCTTTATTTCTCATTTTATGACCCTTTAATATCGATGTGCTTAGAGAAAGCATCGGGATTTTACTTCGTTAGTTGCAAGTCTTTTTTCATAATCTAACTTTCTTTCTCATTTGTATTTTCACATGTCTTCTGAACCTTATGTATTCAGCTTGTTCCCAAATGTTTTTACCACTGGAAGCCTGTCAGAAGCACACTTTTTTATCTTTAGCTTCATTCCTATCTCCTTTGTAATCCATTGAGCTCTGGATTTGTTTATCCTATCTTTCCTTTTTGATGGCATATATTTTGACTGTCCAAGCCATAACATTTTCAAAGGTAGCCCATTATTCAGCTACTCCTTTTCCTGACAACCTTTGGTTCCAGTGTGTCCAAACCTGCTTCTTTCTTGACCTGTTGAAGTTGACTTTTTTTTCTTTATTCATTCACAGGATGAGGGCATCATTGGCTAGGTATCATTTATTGCCCATCTCTAATTGCCCAGGGGGCAATTAAGAGTCAACCACATTGCTATGAGTCTGGAGTCACATGTAGGCCAGGCCAGGTAAGGATGGCAGTTTCCTTCCCTAAAGGACTTTAGTGAACCAGATGGTTGTTTTTCCTGACATTTGGCAATGAATTCATGATCGTCATTAGATTCTTAATTCCAGATATTTTATTGAATTCAAATTCCACCATTTGCCATGGTAGGATTTAAACCTGGGTCCCCAGAATATTGTCTGGGTCTCTGGATTAACAATCCAGCGATAATACCACTAGGCCATCGCCTCCCCACTCAATTTTCACCAACTGATTATTCTTTCTCTGGATTTACAAATATCATTTCCACTGTCATCCTAAGTCTTATGAACTACCGACCAACCTCATCCCGCCCCCTTGACCTGTCCGTCCTCCCTGGACTGACCTATCCCCTTCCTAACTCCCTACCTACACTCACCTTTACTGGCTCCATCCCCGCCTCTTCGACCTGTTTGTTTCCTCTCCACCTATCCTCTCCTCTATCCCTTTTCTATCCGCCTCCCACTCTCTCCCTATTTATTTCGGAACCCCCTTCCCCTCCCCCTTTTTTGATGAAGGGTCTAGGCCCGAAACGTCAGCCTCTCTGCTCCTATGATGCTGCTTGGCCTGCTGTGTTCATCCAGCCCTGCACCTTGTTGTCTTGGATTCTCCAGCATCTGCAGTTCCTACTATCTCTTATGAACCTAATGTTTTTAGTGAGGAAATCTGCCGTCCTTACCTAGTCTGACCTATGTGTGACTCCAGATCCTCAACGATGTAGTTAACTAATAGCTGCCATCGGGGCAATTTGGATTGACAATGACTGTTAGTCTAGCCAACAATGCCATCATCCCATGGACAAGAAAGATCCAATGATCACTGTCCGCTAAAGTTCTCCCACCTGTCCTTTGATCTGCATCATTCCCAAGAACCAGATCTAGCAGTACCCCTTTCCTGTTGGAATTTACACGTTGCTGTAAGGAAATTCTCTAAACAAAATCTAGGATTCCCCCCTCCCCCCGCCCCACTGCCCCTTACGCTACCTCTATCACAATCTGTATCTAGGTAATTAAAGATCCTGTTATAACTACTATATGTTGTTTATGCCTTTCTGTAACTTGCTTGCAAATTTGTTCCTCTATTTCCTTCACACTAATTGTTGGTTAAAGATTATACCAACTACATAATTGCACTTTTCTTACTTCATGGCTCTTAGTAAATCAATTCTGTCCTTGTACCCTCGGAAACATCATCTTTCTGCAATGTTTTCCTTATTCAGAAACGCCCCTACTTGTTTCTTCCCTCTCCTAAAATTTCTGAACATTTTGTAACCAGGAGTATTTAACATCCATAAAAACTCTTGAGCCAGGTTTCTTATGTATGCCAGTATACCATTATAATTCCACATGGCAATCTGTGCTTGTAACTCCCTAATCTTAGTAACTATTCTTTAGTGTATTTTCATGCCTGCAGTGTAACCCTGATTTAGATTCCACTACTTTCTCCCTTACTCTGACCCCATATATTAACTTTAGATTCTCTATTCTAATGCTATCTGCCTCTCCCGGCATTTTGTGCACCCTGGCATTACTTTCTAAAACTCTTTCCTGGTTCCAACATTTCTACTGATTGAATTTAAACCCTCCAAAGTAGCTCTAGAAAAGATCCTGGAAGGAACTTGCTCCCAGTCCCAGTCCTGTTCAGGTGCACCTTGTACAGGTGCCATCTCTCCTGAGCCTGGCCCAAGCATCTAGACCCCTCCTTCCAGCACCATGTTTCCAGCCACGTGTTCAAGTGTCTGATCATCCTATTTCTGTGCTCACTTGCACGTGGGAGTAATTCAACAATTTCTACTTTATAAGTACTGTTTGCAAGTCTTCTACCCAGCTCCTTAAATTCTGATTGCAGGATCCTCCTTCCTATCAATGCTGTTAGTACAAAAATAGACCATGACCTCTGGCTGTTTGCTTTCCCTTAAAAGAATGTCCTGCAACCGTTCTGTGACAACCTTGACCATTACACCAAAGCAGCAACACACCACCTGGAGCCGCATTGCAGAAACACCTGTCTGTTCCCCTATCTAAAGAATCCTCTTTGCATACAGCCTTTCTACTTTTCTTCTTACCCTCTTGTACAGCTGTGGCACCCATGATTCCACTGGCTTGGCTCTTCATGCACCCTACTAAGGATCCATTGCCTCACCCAATATGTAGAACAGAAATATAGTTAGTAAATGAGACCTCTGGGCATTCCAGCACTTGCAGCCTGATTTCCTTGGACTGTCTGGCAATCACCCAATCCCTATCTGCCTATTTGCCCTAACTTCGTGTGGCCACCTCTCGATGGACTTCAGCAAAACATTTGACAAGTTTCCACATGGTAGTCAGGTTACTAAGGTTAAATCACATGGGATCAAAGGGAGCCAGCCAATTAGATACAAAATTGGCTTGAAGGTAGGAGAGAGAGGGTGGTGGTGAAGGAACGTTTTTTGGACTGGAGGCCTATGACCAGTGGTGTGCCACAAGGATTAGTGTTGAGTCCACTGCTTTTTGTCATTTATGTAAATGATTTGGATATGAAATTTTGGAGGTATCGTTAGTAAGTTTACAGATGACACCAAAATAGGTGGTTTGGTGGACAGTGAAGAAGAGTATCTCAGAGTACAACGGGACCTTGATGAGCTGGGCCAATGGGCTGTGGAGTGGCAGATGGAGTTTAATATGGATAAATGTGAGGTATTGCATTTTGGTAAGGCATACCAGGCAGAATTTTTCAGTTAATGGTAGGTCCCTGGGGAGTGTTGCCAAACAAAGAGACCTAGGGGGTGCAGGTGCATTGTTCCTTGAAAGTGGAATTGCAGGAAGACAAGATGGTGAAGAAGATATTTGGCACACTTGCCTTCACTGGTCGTAACTTTGAGTGTAGGAGTTGCGATGTTATGTTGTGACTGTACAGGACATTAGTGAGGCCACTTTTGGAATACTGCATACAATTCTGGTTGCCTTCTAAGGGAAGGATGTTGTTAAACTTGAGTGGGTGCAGAGAGGATTTACAAGGATGTTTCCAGGGTTGGAGGGTTTGAGCTATAGGGAGAGTTTGAATAGTGTGGGGCTTCTTTTTCCTGGAGCATCAGAGACTGAGGGATGACCTTATAGAGGTTTATAAAATCATGAGGGGCATGGATAGGGTGAATAGCCAAGGTATTTTTTTCCTAGGGTGAGGGAAGTCCAAAACTGGAGGACATAGGTTTAAGATGAGAGGGGAAAGATTTTAAAAGGACCTGGGGCGGAGGAATGTAACTTTTTTGCGCAGTTGTTGGTGCATGTATGGAACAAGCTGCCAGAGGAAGTGGTGAGAGTGGGTACAATTCTGACATTTAAAAGGCATCTGTACAAGTGTGTGAATAGGAAGGTTTAGAGGGATATGGGCCAAATGTTGACAAGTTGGACGAGGTCAGATTGGTGTGGATGAGTTGGACTGAAGCATCTGTTTCCATGTTGTATGACACTCATGCAATGGCTCTATGTAGTTCTCTGCCTCATGGGTGCACCACAGTGACTCTGGCCACTGTTCAAGCTCTGAAACCTGGAGCTTGAACTTGTACAAGTGGTGATACTTTCTGCACATCAACTTGTCTAGATCACAAGAAATGCTCACGACTTCACATATGCCACAGGAGGCTTTCCACTTGGCCGAACTGATTTAGTTACTTTAACTTTAACCTTACTATTGTATTATAAACTGAAGATGTGTAGAAAGTAAAAATTCTTCAACTTTGCTCACTAATCAGTTCCTTCTCATGTGTCTGTAAGTTTTTACTTCACCTTTGCTAGTTTAGAACAAGAAACAAGAAACTATTTATGTTCCACACAAGCTACGAGGGGTTTTACAAGTTAACAGACACTCAGGATATCATGACGGAAAGGCCTTAGATATTGGCCTATCTCTACTGTATCTTTTAGAATTTTTTATCCTCATATTTTCTCCAAAAATGTACTTTGTTCATAAATTATCTATAAGCACATTGTAAAACAGCTCAAATCAGACACTGTGGAACATAAAAAATGTGATTTTTAAAATTATATTTGAGCATTGCACTCTTGGGTGCCTTCAACCAAAAGCAAAAATTGGAACGTTTTACCGATATGACCAGAAACTGTATACATTTTAAGATAAGCTATGAGGGGTCTATAAGTTAGTACATTAGGTCTGAGATGCACTGGAAGATCAATGCATTTCAGGCAGACGAAAGAGCATCTTTCATATGTATCTCTCTCTAGACCTCTTCAAGGCACATTCCAGAAGGATGTGTCAGTGGTCTCTTCATTTCTCCTCTCATTTATTTTTATCTTAAAAATATATTTTATTCACAAAAATAATCTATAAGTACCTATGAAGGTTCTAAATCAGTTCTGGGCAATCTTTGCAAAGCAGAAAAAACAAACAAAACATTGAAATTTTGACATTTCTCAGAGCTTCTCTACAGTTGCAAAGGAAAAAAGCATTTTCTACTTGCGCATGAAACAATTTATGTTCATTTTGATGCACGGAGAAGGTATGACAACTGACGGACCCTTGTTGTACTTTGACAGAAAGACCTCAGATGGTGGTCTTGACCCACTGTTCCTTGGCAGCAGCTGCATGAAGCTTCAGTGCATCCCTCAGCACATAGTCCTGGACCTTGGAATGTGCCAGTCAGCAACATGTAATTAAGTTCAAATCTCTACACTGGAAGATCAACAAGTTTCGGGCAGACCAAAGATCATCTTTCACCAAGTTGATGGTCCTCCGGTGCAGTCGATGTTTTCCTCTGTGTGTGTCCCCTATTGTACAGAGCCCTATATAACGGAGTTGCTGGGACAAACCTTGACAAAAACTACTACATCTCTCTCCCGACCTTCTTTGTAAAAGCACATTCCAAAAGGAGATGTGTGACAGTCTCTTCACTCATGTAGCCGTTTCAAGGGCAGCATGCAGTAGTGTACAGAGACCAATGGCATAAATAGGCAGAACCTTGGTTTATTATCCAAAAGGTCAGTTAATTGACATATAACCTATAAGCAGATTTAAAAACACGTAAGAACAATTCTGGAATATTACCAGTCTTTCTGCTGATACAGCAATTCTTCATTATTGGACTGAAACATCAACCTAGATCTGTGCTGTCAAGATTTGGACTGGTACGGGATTTCACAACCTTCTGACTCGATGGTAAGAATTCTACTAAATGAACTGATGACTGCTAATTTCGTGTATCTTGCATTGTCTTCATGGTATTCTTTAAATTGTTAGATTCAAGTGTTCAAATTCATGTATGCTAAACTGCTGTAATTCAATGTTGTACCAACAGATGGAGTAGCAGATTGTACCAACTGAGCAGAGCAGGAATGTCTGCAGTAGAGGACCTAACTGCTGAAGCTGACCCTTCTCGAGATGGAAGTGAGAATCAATCCTCCTTTGCTGAAGTTCCATATATCAAGCTGGAGCCTCATGCAGAAATTAATGAAAATGGTGGTCCTTCCCAGAATGTTGCCATGGGAATGAAATTTGTCCTACCAAATAGATTTGATATGAATGTCTGTTCTCGGTTTGTAAAATCTCTGAATGAAGAAGAGAGTAAAAATATTCAAGATCAGGTGAACTCTGATCTAGAAGTTGCCTCTGTATTATTCAAAGGTAGGTAATATGCAAGGATTTTAGTTGGTTTCAAGAACTCAGAAAATATTTGTTTACTGAGCTACATTGACTTGCAGTTAAACCATGTATAATTTTACTTTAATAGTCTCAGTCTTGTTTTCAGTTACCTCATGGTTTGGCCTCGACATGTCTCTGCTACCGCTCACATCCTTATAATCTTCTAACATATCTGTGGCTCTTCAGCATCTCTGTTTTTAATTACTCCTTATTGCCTTCAGTTGCCTAGATCCTAAGCTCTGGAAACCACTCCACCTCTCTATCTTGCATTCCTCTTTTAAGACGTTCCTTAAAACCTAACACTTTGAACAAGCTTTTGATCATTAACCCCAATATCTTCTTCTAGCCCTGTGTCACATTTTGTTTTATAATATCTCCAGGAAGAACCTTGGGGCGTTTTATTACTTTAAAGGTGCCAGTGTAAAAACAACTTGATATTAATAAATTGAGAATGAAATAAAGCGTGCCCCTTTTACAGGACTGATGAAAACAAAGGGGAAAGATGAGGCCAACAAGAAAAGGTTATAGATTATGTTTATGTTTATGTTTATTATAAAAAAGGTACTCGTGAATTTGGAAATGTGGAAGTTAACCTGTAAAAGAAAACTAAAAATGGATGAAATACAAGGGTAATATACAATGGACACGTCAGTTAGGCTTTGAAAAGATGTGAAGCATGCGTTTTAATAACCTATGGGGATACAACCAGAACAATGGACTACAAGTGTTAATAGCAGTGATGCTTAGGATCTAAGTGGACCATTCAGTGCTGGTTACTATATTACACAAAAAGGTGTACATGTTGGAATCATAGAATCTCTACAGTGTGGAAGCAGGCCATTTGGCCCTTCGAGTCCATACCAACCCTGTGAAGAGCATCCCACACAGCCCCACCCCGTACCCTATCCCTGTAACCCTGCATTCCTCTTGGCTACTCCACCTAACCTACACAACCTGGATTGTGGAGGGAAATCAGAGCACCTAAACGGATGTTCAAGCTTCACACAGATGGACGCCTGAGGGCGGAATTGAACCTGGGTCCCTTGTGCTGTGAGGCAGCAGTGCTTGCCACAGAGCCACCGTGCTGCATAATATTCCATATTTGAAGAGATTTGATTAATGGTATAGAATATTTGTTGTAGGGCACGTTACTATTTGTGAATTATAAGTTTAAAATAGGTACTTCAAATACTTTAAACAAACATTGTAAATATTTGGAATTCTGCATTCAACATCTTACAATAGATGGACAGGAACATAATGAGAAGCTTTTACTTCCATTTTGTTAGCTATGGTAGCTCACAAAGTCATAAGATTGTGGATTCTATTCAGACTCCAGGACTTGAGCACAAATAACAAAGTTGACATCTATTTCAGTATTGAAGAAGTGATGCACTGTTGGAGCTGCTGGGCAGAAGATTTAGGGGATGATGGATTACTAACCCAACATTCTATTATTCTTTTAATTGTCCTATGTATCTGCAGATCTGAGCCTTCAAAGCTGCTGCTCATTCTCCTCCTTTACAATCTTTCATTTAGACTGCAGTTCCAGTTTAATTACTTGTTATTATTCTGCCCAGTTGCTTAAACAATCATCTTTTTCAATTTTCTGCATGTATCACCATGTGTAGTATCATCTGTAAACTCAAATATCTTCTTTCTATTCCCAAATTCTGAATGGAAAGATTGGGTACTAAAGTGGCAAGCATCTGTGTGGCTTGCTGACTGTATGGCACTTAGGGATAGATTTGAATGCTCTCAAAACAGATTCACTTGCATAGAGATAAAAGAAGACCAACTGTCTTCTTTAATTTTTTTTGCATTGTGCGGGCAGGGAAAAGAGGGAATGTTGTTACGTTATTCTGTAGCCTGATCACTGAGTAGAAGAGAGGCACAAATAAAAGCAATAATTTAAAGTAAAATAAGTCTCATTCTGATTAACAGAAATTGCTGGCAGAACTCAGCAGGTCCGGCAGCATTTGTGGAGAGAAAGCAGAGTTAATGTTTCAGGTCCAGTGATCCATCTTCAGAACTGCCACCAGATCCATAACGTTAACTTTGCTTTCTCCCCATAAATGCTGCTAGACCTGCAGAGTTTTGCCAGCAGTTACTGTGCTTGTTTCAGATTTCTAGCATCTGCAGTTCTCTTGGTTTTTTTTAGAAACATTCTGACTATTTGGGAAGATCAATTTACATATCTCCACCCAGCCCTCAACCACATTTCAGTCAATCCTACATTTCATACATGTAGAAACTGTTGTAATTTGCTTGTAATTGTAATTAGTGTGTGAACAGATTAGTGTGCAGAGATAGTTGGAACTGCTGATGCTGGAGAACATGAGATAACAAGGTGTAGAGCTGGATGAACACAGCAGGCAAAGCAGCATCAGAGGAGCAGGAAAGCTGACGTTTCGGGTCTGGACCCTTCTTCAGAAAAAGGGTCCAGGCCCGAAACATCAGCTTTCCTGCTCCTCTGATGCAGATTAGTGTGCAATTAGTTTTTGCATAAATAAAGGTCAATTTTCAGGTGTTAACTTGTTGTTTACAGCTGAGTGCAACATACACACCTCTGCTTCTCCTGGAATTCAAGTAAGACATGTCTACACACCATCAGTGACCAAGCATTTCTCACCCATTAAACAGTCGACAACTCTGACTAACAAACATCGTGGCAATGAAATCTCTGCTGCACCTTTACTCTTGCACTGTGAGTCTTGTATAAACAGAATTGATTTGCATCCAAATGATCTTGGATTTGACACTTGCTAAATGTAATTTTTAATAATAGAGGTTTATTGCATGAACGCGCGAAGACTAGGTAGTTCACTAATATCAAAGTCCAAATCAGTTGTTGCTTTACAAAAGAATGGGCCAAATGTTTTTATGGTTAGTTTTCACATTCCCTATACTTTGAACTGAATGTATCAAATTCCATTTCTCTTGTTTGTCCTTTTCAGTAGCTAGCAAAATATTCAAATCTGTTCGCAGGCTTCCAATGTGCTCTCTGTTTCATTAGCCAGTATGTGTATGTACTGGCATGAGGTGATAGGCTCCACAGTGGTTGAGGAAAACCAGAAATTAAAATGAAAAGAAGTGGTTTTATTCATCGTCTGTTTTAAGGAAAATAATACTTTAATTGAAGCTTTGTGGAATAAGTTGCCTTAGCTAAATAGTTTAACTGGTTTCTATAGGGCATTAATTTGTTATTGTGTTTTTTTATAGCTTTGTCTGTACATCAGTTGGCTGCGCAAGGGGAATTAATATATTTGTCAAGCCGTATAGAGCAAGGTAAGTTCTTATAGCTTGTGTTTTTATGTTGTACAAGTTAGATGCATAAGTTATAAAATTACCTTGATGCCTGTTGATCTTGTGTATAAGACTGTAGACCTGAATGAAATCCTCTAATTTATTACTTTTCTAGACAATCTGCTAAACATGCAGGATGAGCAAGGCTTTACACCGTTGATGTGGGCAGCAGCTCATGGGCAGATTGCTGTGGTGGAGTTTTTACTACAGAATGTAAGGAATTTACTTCTGTTCTTTAACATAATAGCTTTAATAAATTAAAAATCAATTATGTAATTATTAGAGAGCAAAATAAACAAGTTAGACTTAGGTTCCCTTTTATTTAATGAGTGGAATAGGCAATGAAGATGTATATTATTTTGGGTTGTGTGTTACTTAATTTACTGATGGTGAAATTGATGTTGATTGTGATCACAAAATACCAAACATGAGAATAAATGCTAAAAACTTTAGCCAATTGTCCCTAACCATTAATCTGCAACATAATTTCAGAAATCATCATTAAAGTTGTTACAATGTAGTTTATTAGTGCCAGTCTAACATTATGAGATAACAAGGTGTAGAGCTGGATGAACACAGCAGGCCAAGCAGCACCAGAGGAGCAGGAAAGCTGACGTTTCGGGTCGAGACCCTTCTTCAGAAAAACATTGACTTGTAATGCACCTGTTCTACAACATTTTGAATTTAGAGTTCATTTTTGTTTCTTTTTCATTTATGTCCTGTTCTGAAGGTGCTTTCTCAAGTATGACTTAATGGTGTTAGCTTTCTAGGTGCGAGCTTAAACAATTATTGTTAGATGATTCAACAACTTCTTTCACAACATTTTTGCCTCAACCCATTCTGCAAACAACTGAGAGAACTTTGAACCTGAGCCTGTCTCAATACAGTTGTGCTAAAATTGCATCTCCAATAAAATTAATGAGCTCAGCTGGGCATTCAATGATCTGCATGGAAGAGCACTATAATAGTACTATATTTACCTACAAGGGTATTGAGGAGCAGCTGGATTTATGTTGGTAATAGTGTTTTTTTAATCAATCTTGACCCAATTGATTGCAGACATTAGCTAAATGTTCAACTCAGCAGTAAGAAGGAAAAGTAGACTACAGAGTTCAACAAAATTCAGTAATGTCAAATAAAATTGTGTGCAAAGGATGTCCTTGCTTTTAATTGTTCTTTGGGATGTGTGCATTTTGGCAGGCTAGCATTTATCACTCATTTGTAATACCCTACAGATGGTGTGGCCTTTGTAAACTACTTTAGTCCACGTGTAAAAAAAATTACCACAGCTTGTTAGGTAGAAAATTCAAGGGATTAGATCCAGCGATGAAGAATATTGTAATATTTCCAAGTCAGGATGGCATCTAGGCGATGTTCTTTTATGTCCTTGTCCATATAAATAAGTGGAGGCTGAAATTTTTGGAGGTGCTGCCAAAGAATCCATGGCAGTTAATGTAGTACATTCTGTAGATTCTACACAGTGTGGAGAGAGTGTTTTTATTTTAGCTAGTGAATGTTCATTAACTATCTTATAGAACATAGAACAGTACAGCACAGAAACAGACCCTTTGACCCACCATGTCTGTGCCAACTACGATGCCATTCTAAACTAATCCAATCTGTCTGTCCCTATTGCTCTATTCCCTGCCTATTCATGTCTGTCTAAACCCCTCTTAAATGTTGCTATCATATCTGCTCCTCACTATTCACAACTCCACCAATTTTCATGTCATCTGCAAACGTACTAATTAGACCAACTAGATTTTCATCCAAATCAACTGAGGTCCCACCATTGATCCTTGTGGAACATCACTGGTCACAGGCCTCCAGTCAGAAAAACACTCATCCATGACTACTCTGTTTTCTATGACCGAACCAATTTTGTGTCCAACTTACCAACTCACCATGGATCCCATGTGACTTATTCTTATGGACCAGCCTACCATGTGGGACCTTGTCATATGCTTTAGTAAAGTCTATATAGGCAACATCCACTGCTTATCCTCATTAATCTTATGTTGGAGGACTAGTCATTGATTGAGTACCTTGCTGCAAATTTATTTAATTTCTTGAGGCTGATATGATTAGCCACCAACAACAACAATTTTCCTGTATACCAAGTATGACTTAAGCCAATAGATGCAATACCGCATCCCCACCAGATCCCTGTTGATTGATTTTATTTGGGCTCTTTGCCACCCTAGACTGAACAACTTCTTAAGATCACTTCTTGCATCCCATTCCTGATGATTGCAGAATTAGCCAAAAGGAGTGTAAATGGCTGGCTAAATTTGTTCTTGTTTTTGTTATCCGAGCTTCTGTCCTTTGGATAAGAAGTTAAACCACAACTCTACCTGCTGTTTCAGATAGATCCCATACACAATTTTTTTTTTAATTCACAAGATATGTGTGTCGCTAGCAGAGCCCATCGCTAGTTGCTGTTGAGAAGGTGGTAGTGAACTGCCTTCTTGAATCTCTTAGTCTGTAGGGACACCCACAATGCTGTTAGATAGGGAGTTCCAGGATTTTGACTCAATGACAGTAAAAGAACAGCAATGTATTTCCAAGTTAGGTTGGTGAGTGGCTCAGAGGAGAACTTGCAAGCCATGGTTTTTCCATGTATCCCTTATCCTTCAAGATGGTGGTGGTTATGCGTCTAGAAAATTCTTCAAAGACAACCAGGGATTTGAGTTGGGATGGTGGGGGGTGGGGTTGATCTGCTAATATCTATACATCAATTAACATCACAAAAACAAGTTATCTTGCCATTAACCCATTGCCATTTTTGGGAGCTTGCTATGAGCAAGTTTCCTACGTTACATCAGTGACTACAGTTCTACAGTATTTCATTAGCTGTAATGTGCTTTGAGGTGATCATGAAAGGTACTATATGAATGCAAGCCTGTGTTATTTTTCCTTCTTTCTGGAGCTGAAGCCTTCAGTGCTATAGCCTAATAGTTGTTGGGCCCAGCGTCCTTTTCTGTGTCTTTTAATTTAGTCATGTCGTGACATCACATACACAATCTTTGAATATGCCCAATTAGTTTTTTATATCTACTAAAATAGCTGAATCCTGAAAATGTAATCTACCCAAACTGATGTTTATATATTGTAAATAATTTTATTTCTGACTAGTTAATTTATGACTTTTGCCTTTTAAAATGTGTGCCCTGTGTGTCATTTTGACTTACGGCCATCTATTAGTTTTATGCTTTTGAAGTTAAACTGCAACTTGTGTGTTTCTTTTTGAAAGGGAGGTGATCCACATCTTTTAGCAAATGGGAGAGAGAGTGCACTGTCACTTGCCAGCAGTAAAGGCTACTCGAATATTGTAAACATGCTGCTTGACTATGGGTGTGATGTGAATGAATATGACTGGGTAAGTAATATCAGGAATCTATTGGCCAATATTTTTCCTTTTTACATAGAACTAATATTTTAAGCAAAATTTAAAAATAAATTCAGTAGAAAGTAAAACCGCCAGCTGGGAACAGTTTATGTTGAATTTATTGTCATTTATCAAATAAACCCTTCTAGTTTCTCTACCTTCTGTTCATTCAAAACATATGTTCTGAGAAATTTGGAAGCCATTGCTGAGCCTGACAATCTAATATAGCTGAAATAATATCAGTACGGGTGGTCATTAACGTCAAACTTGAGCAGTTTTACATTTCAGATATACATGCTAATTAAGTTTTCCCACGTTGCCAAGTTTAATTTCTCTTAAGGGTTTGTGGATAGAATAGGCATGATTTTCCACTCACTGTAGCGTCAAAAATAATGGTGAGTATGAGTTAATTGGGCAAGCGTCCAAAAATCAGATTCTCGCTTTTGAAATAAACTTTCACAATTAAGTCCTCGCTCCTTAGATGGAGAAATTTACATGCCCTTTCCAATAAGTTATGTCCATCGAGGTATGCAACGCTTCAGAAACTCCACTGCATCATTCAACTGTGAGCTGACGACTTTGATCCTGTGCCTCAGATCCAGGTGAGTACACAGATTTTGCTGCCTCCTTGTCTATGTTTTTTTTTCTTAGAAATGCATAAGGTGACTGTGCATTAGTTAACATTTAGTGTGTTGCTGGGCCGTTGCTGCACCCAACTGTGTAACAATGACACATCAGCTTCTCGGGTGGCAGTTCAATATAGAAGACAAGACAGCTTGTCACTGAAGGGGAAGCTTTAGTACAGAAGGAAAAGTAGAAATATGTGGCTGTGGGAAATAACTAAACATGATATTGGGCGGCGGCGGTGGGGGGAACAAAGAGGATGCATGTTGCTGTGTGACACAGTGCTCTATCAATATGAATATTGCCTGTTCCAGGAGCTTACACAGCCATCACACTGCATGTGCATGAAGAGCATGGCCTGGTGTGAAAAAGAAAGGGGAGGCATAGTTACTGGGGTGAAAGTAGACAATGGTCAGTCAGTGCATGTTCCTTGGTGCCCTGCCCAGGTACAACACTCCCCTCTGTGGGGCCATAACCTGGACCTTTATGGGGAAGGATGTTAGAAGTGAAATATCCCTTTGTTAAGACTGTGTACTTTCTCTTACTGTTCTCTCAGATCTGCTGTAAGTTGAGGATGTTAGAAGTCAAACCAGCAGTTCCATGGCCTTCTGCAAAGGGACCATTGCAGAAGACAGCAGAAAGAACTCCATCTGCGGCAATTACAGCAGCAGCCAGCACCGGCTGCCAACAGCCTTCAAACGAAGAAGCAGCAGGACAAGAGCCCTGAATAGAATAGGGCTCTTGTGCAGTACAGGATCTATGATTTTGGGTGCAGCTATCTGCAAGAATATCTGAACTATGGTGTCACACCTATGATAGCTACTGGATGAGGACCTGTAGTCACAGGACTGGGTAGCCCAAAAGGTATCAGGTGTCTTTAACTTCTTTGCCAGCATGTCATTTCATGGAGCTACTGGAAACTTCCGTGGCATTATACAGTCCACAACTCATAATCACATTGGTATGCTTTCTTCGCAACAGCTTACCAATTCATCTTTTTTTGCCCCTTGATACTTAGAGTCAGATAATGGGGCATTAGAATGCTTAGCCATTGCAGGTTTCCTGCAGGGGCAGGATGCTAACAAATGCACCTAAATAGCAATCAGAGCTCCCCCATCGTGAACCAGCAGTCTTCCTCGATAGAAAAGGATTCCAACCCCTTCATGTTCAAATTATTGATGATCGCAACAGCCAGATTTTGCAGGTCTAACTTAGATACCAGGAAGATGCCATGTCATGTACATCCTGGGTCACTTACAGGTGGTGGGCCTTTTGAAAGACTTTCTGCCCATACACTTATGGTTCTTGGGCAATGAGAAATACCCTCTACACACCTGGCTGATGACAACTCAGAAGAAGAATCTACCCATTGCTACCAAGGAAAGATACTAATCTGCCACGTTTTCACCCAGGGCCGTTGTGGAATAGACCATAGCCCTCCTGAAGATGAGGTTCTGAAGTCTGAACTGATTGCATGATGTCATGCACTACATCCTAAATAGAATGTTGTGCATCATCATAGTCTGCTGCACCATCCACAATCTCACTCGCCAAAGAGGGATGTATTGACAGAGAAGATGATGCAGAAATGAGATGAAACCTCTGAGGAGGAAGATGACGGTGAGGATTGTAACATGGATTAGGTGGTTTATCAAAGAGATGAAGACAGTGGTCTGTTGAGCCCAAGAGGCCATAGAGAACCTCACAGCTGCCAGCTTCCAAGATGAATCGTTGAGACCTTTTCTGTTCTTTTTTATCATCTCATTTGCATAGTTGGCTGTCAACTCTCTGTCTGTAGTATGCCATGTTCCTCTTTGACTTATTTTTCTGATTTATCCATGCAATAAAATTTTGACTTTTCCATTCAACTGACGCTGCAATATCCTCACCTCAATAAAAGCTGCAGTGTGTGTCTAAACTTTGCCCTGGATGCCCTGGATCAACTTTAGTGTTAAAACAGTTGTGATACATGGAGCTCTTCCACTACCTGACCCTGCTGGATGTTTGTGTTCAAATGGTCCCTGGTGAATGCCTAGACCATAAGACAAAATAAGAAATAGGAATAGGGAGTAGGCTGTTCGGCCCCTGGAGCCTGCTCCACTATTCAGAACGATGATGGGTGATTTGACATTCCTCACGCCCACCTTCCTGCTCTTGCCTCATAACCCTTGATTCCCCTACTGATCAAGAATCTATCCATCTCAGCCTTAAATATGCAAAAGAACTCTACTCCCATAGCTCTGTGGCAAGGTGTTCCAAAGACACTCAACCCTCTGAAAGAAGAAATTCCTCCTCATCTCAGTTTAAAATTGCCTCTCTTTCATTCTGAAACTGTGTAACATTTACCCTGTAAAGCCCCTTAAGAATCCTATATGATTCAATGAGATCACCACCCATTCTTTTAAACTCCAGTAAGTGGAGCCCCAACCTATTTAGCCGTTGCTCAAAAGACAGGGCTCGTCCTGGGAACTCTCTGTGAACTGCCTCCCCTGCAATATCTTTCCTGAAATAGGGGGACCACAACTGCTCACAATACTCCAACTGTAGAAGGTGCTTGTGAGACCACATCTGTGGTAAGACTTCCCTACTCTTTTATAGTCCAACATCCGTTAAATAAGTGCCAACATTCCATTAGCTTTCTTGATTACCTTCTGAATCTGTGTGCTGGTTTTTTGTGTTCCATGTATAAGTACCCAAGTCCCTTTGTGTTGCAGCTTTCTTCAGTTTTTCTCCGTTTAAATAATATCCTGTTCTTTTGTTCTCCCTTCCAAAATGAACAACTTCACATTTTCCCTCATTATACTCCATTTGCCAACTTTTTGCCCACTAACTTAACCTATCAATATGCTTTGGAGGTGTCCAACATCCTGAGACCTCCTAAGGAGCCACTAGTCCCAGAAGGTGTGTCTGTTAAATGGATATCTGAGGCCCTGGTTCCTCCCCTAGACCTTATCATTGGCATCATTCTCCCCAAGGTTCACCTGTAGCACATAGACTGCATTCTCCAAATTGAGGTTGTGAGATTCCATGTTGGATGGGATGACCTCTGGTCACCCACTTTGTTAATTATGAGAGAAGAACCAAGGCATGATAATTGAAATGTAACATATCCTTTTGCTAATTGAAGATGCACCACATCTTTCACTTCAAAGAACCTTCTCTGGTCATATTGGGACAATAAGACCAAATAGAAATTAGAACCTTACAAGTGAAGATATATTTACAGAAGTGCTTATTCTGTACAGTGATTAAACACTTGTACCTTGATATGCCCTTAGAAGTTTTCTTTCTCATTACTTCTAGGTGCAGGCTCACTTCTGCACCTGGAGTGGAGGACGCATGCTGTGGTGACCTTGAAGACTTTGGCAGGCACTCCTGAGGATTAGAGCCCAGAAGATCTTTGCCTGCTGAGGGTTTCCAGTATGGGTGCAGGTGCAGGCTCTGTACCCCCCGCACCTTGGCCTGAATCACTGAAACAAATGCAGTCGCTGGCTGTGAGGAGGTAGACAGCAGGGCATCTCTGGAGTGAATGAGATGAAATTGCCTAGGTGCCTATCTGCTGCTCTTTCTTCCTGTCCGTTCCTCCTGGCACATTGCCTCACCCCATCACTGCACATTGATGCAGAGTACCATAGCTAGAGGAATGGTATACAAATCTGAGGACAAATCCAGCAGTCACTGAGCATACCGCTAGACTTGGACCTCCAAGGCAGTAGGTATCCTTTCCATGGACGTATCCAAGCCCTCAAATGCGGGAACCATTACAGTCGTGAGAAAGTGAATGGCCTCCTCCATCCTTCGTTTGTAATAATGCCACTTACCCTTGCACAGAGCAGACAATAACTGACATTGTTCCTGCTCTGCTTTCCAGTCCAATCGCACCAAACCTCAATGCGATCTTGGCCCAGACTGGCCGGGTCTGATCAGACGACCTCTTGGTGCAGTTAACATAGAAGTGAATGCTCATCCACCAATGACCCTGTCAAGCAGTGCCTCAAAGGCAGTACCTGGTAACCTGAGAGCCAGGGTGGACTTCTTGGAGGTGTCTCTAGTGTTCTGGGGGAGCCATCTCAGACTGGGGGGAGGTTCCTGCCTTGTAGTGAATGAAGTACTGTCCTGCTGGTCTTTAAATATGGTGCCAGAGCATTCCAACCCTCATTTGGAATCCTTAGATCTTCTAGTTTGTTAGCCACATGATTTGCTGATTGACTCACGCAATATTTCACTTGCATAGGAATTGAGTTGAGAAGCACATGATTGTGTGAGATAATTCACCCCAGGCATTGAAACGTTCAACATTATACTTTAATTTCAAAATGGAAAATCTCAAGCTGTATGTTCAATAATCAATCCCAAAAAATCTCCGGAAATATATTAAGTTAAATTAGAATTTTCATTTTTAAATGGTTGCATTATTCTATCTTTAAATCTTATCGATTTAAATTCTACTTAGTTATATTTTCTGAAATAACCTATTGTAGATAGGGTTAATACAACTAAATTGTTTGAAATGGTTTCTGTATCTCCGAACTCCATTACTCCATAAACGATAATATATAACATCTAGGTAATGTGTTATTTATTCATTACCATCATGGAGGCTTTGTACACAAAGATTGTTCAATGGCTGTTCCCCCATGAATTTAATAGCTCCTTTCCTGGAAAATATAATCACGAGTAGAATTTGTTACTACAGAATTTTACATTTTCAAATATTCCTCTAGTAATTAGTGAAATGTAAGCCTTTTGGTACATTACTGCGATTTCATGTAAAAGTCATAAAGTTATGATATTGTATTACCTATTTGAATATATGTGAAACTGGTTGTGAGTTCGTACCTGGGGAGCCAGGAGTGAAATAAATGGGCAAGAATTCTAAGTGAAAGTGAATACTAATGGTATACTGTGATAATCTAAGAAGTATGATTGTACATTTTATTTGTTCTGGGCTGTAGCCTGAATGAAGTGGAAGGTATATCAGCTGAATGAATGTTATGTTCCTTATTTAAATAACAATAGAAAATTGATAAAACATCAAAGATGATCGAAAAGTGTAGTATGCAAAACTGAACTTGAATATTCGTAATTTCAAGGTTTACGCTCGCACATAAGCTACTACTGGCTTTTGATTGTTTTGGATTCATACAGCTCATAAGAAACTCTTTAAGATTCAGGATGTCAGCTACTGGTAGGCAATATTGGAAAAACATGAATGAGAACATATGACTAAATATCCACAGTCTGGTACCCACCATGGTTTGGGTTACAATGAAATACACCGTTATTCATAGAGATCAGAATTTTGCAGTCGTTTGAATCATTGTGTAAAAAGCTATATTTCATCCAACGTGAAGGCTGATGGCAAAAAAACGCCACATGTTTAATGGTTGTGCTTCTCACCAAACTACTCATAAGGAGCTCCTAAAGTCTGCTGACCACTAAGCCTTGGGCCCAAATGATGCTGAGGAATGATCAATGGATCCGGAACGTAAACTCTGATTTTTTTTCTTCAAAGATGCTGCTAGACCTGCTGAACTTTTCCAGCAGTTTCTGTTTTTGTTCCTGATTTACAGCATCTGCAGTTCTTTCGGTTTTTTGTTTAATGACCCATACTGTTTTGAGGGAAAAAGTCAGTCACACAACACCAGGTTATTGTACAACAGGTTTATTTGAAATCACAAGCTTTCGGAGCGCTGCTCCTTTGTCAGGTAAAGTGAGGGAGATAGAGTGAACCACAACAGTCCAAAGCATCTGAGAAAATAATCTTTCTGTATTTAAGTGTCACTGGCCAGACTGACATTTATTTCCCATTCTGAAAAAAAATTGACGGGATGTGAGTGCCACTGGCTAGATCAAGTGTTTATTGCCCATCTCTTGTTGCCCTCGAGGAGGTGGTAATGAATTACTGCAGCCCATATGCTGTACGTAGACCATAATGCCATTAGGAAGGGAGTACTAGGATTTTGACCCAGTCACATTGAAGGAAGGGTGATATATTTCCAAGTCAGAATGGTGAGTAGCTTAGAGAGGAACTTGTAGAAGGAGGTTTTCCAATGTATCTGCTGTCTCTATCCTTCTGAATGGAAGTGGTCATGGATTTCAGAGGTTCTGCATAATGAGCCTTCTGCAGTGCATCCTGTTGATGATACTCACAGCTGCTACTTAGCAACAGTAATAGAGGAAATGGATGTTTTGCCAATCAAGTGGACTGCTTTGTCTTGGATAGTCTCAAGCTTCTTGTGAGTTGTTGGAGGTGCTGTCATCCAGACAAGTGGGGAGTATCCCTTCACATTTCTGACTTGTGCCTTGTAGATGGTGGACAGGCTTTGGGGAGTCAGACAATGGTAGTGGGCCTTCATGAACTGCATTTTATCAAGCGAGTGGCTTGTTCGGCCATTTTCAGAGAACAGATAAGAGTAAATTCTGATGAAATCTGGTTAATCTGAAATAGTATTACTCTCCAAAGATATATGCAGCAGTTGCTTAGTATTTCCATTACTTTCTGATTTCATTTCAAATTTATATCAGTTGCAGAATTTTTCAATTTTTTTTAAGGGAAAACAATTTAATGTGGGCCTGGCCATAAATGAAGGCCAGTCCAAGAAAGAACAGAATACTTTCTTGATGGCATTAGTTGAACCAGTTGAATTTTTACAACAATCCAACCACGCCATGGTCACTTACACTAAGCATTAACAGTCACCTGATCCTAGTGAGAAATGAGTGTGATAAATTTTTGTTTCTTAAAAATTTAGGTAACGTATTTAGTGAAATTTTGAAAATTTTATTGCTCTTTCTATTTGCAGAATGGCGGAACTCCTTTGCTTTATGCTGTACATGGAAATCATGTGAAATGTGTGGAGACTCTGTTGGGTGAGCTAACATAAAACCTGATAATGTGGTTTTAATCTGCCCTACAAATTATTCTGTCTAAGGTGTTTGATCCTCCTGTATGAACCATGGGCTTCGGCTGTTGACAACTTGTAAAATTTTGTTTTTAAAAAAATCCTAAATTTTTTTTTTTTTCTTAATCATTGCTGCAAATTCTCTTCTGAAACCTTTTTATTAATCCCCACCTCCTTCACCCTCCCCTCCGATGATAGCTGTGATGAGTTAATGGACACCTTTGTCACCAAGATTGAAATCAACCAATATGAACCTCTGCTGCATTTGTTCATTTTGTGAAACCACTGGGACCAAGTTTATGCTAAAGTATATTTTGTATATTTCTCCGTTATTTACGATTGCTCCTTGTGCCTTCTCCAAGATCACTTAGGTCATAAGGCACACCTCCAGCTCACTTGACTTAATTCCCACTACAAGCTGTTGATAACACACCTTCCCCTCTTAATCCCCATGGTAGCTGGTTATTGCAAACAGTTCTCACTCTAGGTGTTAAAACTGATTCAGAGATAGTAGGAACTGCTGATGCTGGAGAATCTGAGATAACAAGATGTAGAGCTGGATGAACACAGCAGGCCAAGCAGGATCAGAGGAGCAGGAAAGCTGACGTTTTGGGTCTGGACCCTTGTGAGAAAAATTGAAGAAGGAGATGGGGGGAGGGGCTAAGGAGCAAACGATAGGTGGGGATAGAGCCCAAAGAGAGAGAAGAGCAATTGGATAGACAAAGGAGTGGATAATGATCTGGCTAGGAGGGTGAATAGCTGTTAATGGGGACTGTTAGTGACTAACAATGGGTAGTGTGTAATGGCAGACTGTGTGATAACAAGGCCTGATGTGTGGGGTAGGAGGCTAGAACATGGGAGGGTTTACGCCCTAAAATTATTGAACTTGATATTGAGTTCGGAGGGCTGCAGGGTTTCCGAGGAGAAATAGGGTGTTGTTCTTCCAGCTTGAGCTGAGCTTTGCTAGAACGCCGCAGCATGCCTAAGACAGAGATTTTGGCCAGGTAACAGGACGGTGTGTTGAAGTGGAAGGCAACTGGAAGCTGTTTTCTGTGGGCAGAATGTAGATGTTCTTCGAAGCTATCACCCAGCCTAAGCATCATTTCTCCAATATAGAGGAACATAGGAACCAGGAGCAGGAGTAGGCCATCTGATAAGATTCAATAAGATTGTGGCTAATGTTTTCATGGCCTCAGTTCCACTTAGCAACCCTCTTACCATAATCCTTAATTACTTCACTGTTCAAAAACCTATCTATCTTAGTTTTATAAACATTCATTGAGGAAGCCTTAACTAGTTCACTGGGCGAGGGTTCCACACATCCACAACCCTGTTGGGTGAAGAAGTTCCTCCTCAATTCAGCCCTAAATCTCCTCCCCCTAAGTTTGAGGCTAAGCCCTCTTGTTCTCGTTTCACCTGCCAGTGGAAACAACCTCCCTGCTTCTATCCTGTCTATTCCCTTCATAATTTTATTTGTTTCTGTAAGATCCTGCCTCATTCTTTTAAATTCCAATGATCTTAATCCCAGTCTATTCAGCCTCTCGTCATAAGCCAACCCTCTCAACTCTGGAATCAACCTAGTGAAACTCCTCTGCACCCCCTCCAATGCCAGTACATCCTTTTTCAAGTAAGGAGACCAAAACTGAACGCAGTACTCCAGATGTGGCCTCACCAGCACCCTATACAGCTGCAAATAACCACCCTGCTTTTAAACCCAAGCCCTCTAGCAATGAAGGACAAAATTACATTTGCCTTCTTAATTACCTGTTGTACCTGCAAACCAACCTTCTGCAATTCATGCACAAGGACACCCAGATCCCTCTGCACAGCAGCATGCTGCAATGCTACACTACCGACGCTCACTATCAGCAGTATGTACTATTCACAAGATGCACTGCAGAAATTCACCAAAGATCCTCAGACAACACCCTTCAAACCCTCGACCACTTCCATCTAGAAGGACAAGGGCATCAGACATATGGGAACACGACCGTCTCCAAGTTACTCACCATCCTGACTTGGAAATATATTGCTATTCCTTCACTGTCACTGGATCAAAATCCTGGAATTCCCTCCTTAATAGTATTGTGGGTCAACCCACAGCAGGAGGACTGTAGCAGTTCAAGAAGGCAGCTCACCACCACCTTCTAAATGGCAACTAGGGATGGGCAAGAAATGCTGGGCAAGAAATGCTGGCCAGCCAGCGACGCCCACATCCCACAAATGAATAGAGAAAAAAAAAACTACTGTTCAAATAATCGTTACAGAGATAGTAGGAACTGCCGACGCTGGAGAATCTGAAATAACAAGGTATAGAGCTGGATGAACGCAGCAGGCCAAGCAGCATCAGAGAGCAGGAAAGCTGACGTTTCGGGTCGAGACCTTTAAATAATTGTCCTTTTCACTGTTATTCCTACCAAAATGGAGGACTTACATTTATCAACATTGTACTCCATCCACCAGACCTTTGCCCACTCGCTTAAACTACCTATATTCCTCTGCAAAACTTTGATTCTTATGCACACTCTGCTCTACCCCTCATCTTAGTGTCATCTGCAAACTTTGACACACTACATGTGGTTCCCAACTCCAGGAGACCACATTGTGAGCAGTGAATGCAGTTGACTACATTCTGAGGAGTGCAGGTGAAGTGCTCCTTCACCTGGAAGGTACGTTTGGGACTTTGGATACTGGGGAGGGAGGAGGTAAATGGGGAGGTGTTACACCTTCAGCGGTTGCAGGAGAAGGTGCAGTGGGACTGTGGGTGGTGTTGGAAGTGAAGGAAGAGTGGACCAGGATGTCCTGGAGGGAAAGATCCCTGTGGAAGGCGGACAAGGGAGGGGTTTGTTTGTTTGGTCGCATTTCGCTGGAGGTGGTGAAATGGCATCTCCTAATATTCTGGATGTGGATGCTAGTGGGATGGTAGGTAAGGACAAGTGGAACCCTATTGTTGCGGGAGTGAAGAGAGTAGGTGAGGGCAAAAGTGCAGGAGATGGATCGGACTAGATTGAGGATCCTGTCAACAACAGTGCTGGAGAATCCTCGATTGAGGAAGAAGGTGAACATTTTGGAGGCACCTTTGTCGAAGTTGGCCTCATCTGAACATATGTGATGGAGACAGAGGAACTGAGAGAATAGAATAGTGTGTTTACAAGAAGCAGGTGTGAGGATGTATATCCAGGTGGCTGTGGGAGTTGGTGGGTATATAGTGGATATTGATGGCCAGTCTATCCCCAGAAATGGAAACAGAGATGTTGAGGAAGAGAAGACAGTAGTCACAGATAGGACAGGAGAAATTGGAAGCAAAATCGATGAACTTTTCCAATGCTGACGAGAGAGGGAAGCAGCACCAATGATATCATCGATATATTGGAGAAAGAGTTGTGGATGGGGGCTGGAATAGGACTGGAACAAGGAATGTTTCACATACCCCATGAAGAGACAGGCATAACTGTGGTCATCACTCTGACCTGAAGAAAGTGAGAAGAGTTAAAAGAAAAGTTGTTGAGGGTGAGGACAAGCTTGGCCTGGCGGGTGGGGATGGTTCAGGCCTTGGCTCCAGGAAGAAGTGAAGAGCCCTAACCCATCCTTTTGGGAGATGGACGTGTAAAGGGATTGCATGTCCATGGTGAAGTGGAGCTGGCTGGAGCCTGCAAACTGGAAGTTTTGAAACTGGCGCAAACCATCAGAGGAATCATGGATGTACGTGGCAGGGACTGGACCAAGGGAGGGAAGACTGAATCAAGGTAGGAAGAGATGAGTTTTGAGTGGCAGGAGCAGGCTAAAACAATGGGTCTGCCTGGGTAGCCCTGTTTGTGGATTTTGGAAGAAGGTAGAAGCGAGCTGTGTGGGGCTTGAGGACTATCAGCTTGGAGGCAGTGGTGGGGGTGAGGTCACCAGATGAAATGAGGTCAGTTACTGTAGTTGATGCAATGGCCTTCTGTATCATGGTGGGATCATGGTCCACGGGAAGATAGGAGGAGGTATCTGAGAGCTGATGCTCAGTCTCTGTAATATAGAGGTCAGTACGCCAGACTTCAACAAGATCACCCTTATCAGCAGGCTTAATAACAAAGTCAGGGTTGGATCTAAGTGCATGGAGTGCAGTCAGTTCAGAATGAGATAGGTTGGATTGGGTGAGGGGGGGGCAGAGAAATTGTGGCAACCTGTATCACGTCAACAGTTCTCAATGAACAGATCGAGTGCAGGTAAAAGGCCAGAGGGAGGGGCCCAGGTGGAGGGAGAATATTGGAACTGGGCGAAAGGGTTGTGGGACGGGAAGAGGACTCTTGCCCAAAGAAATGGGCACAGAGGCAAGATGGCAGAAGAAGAATTTGATGTCAGGTCATGCCCGAAATTAGTTAAGGTGGGGACGCAGAGGAATAAAGCTGAGACATTGGGGAAACGAAGCGTAGACTTGGCAATTGCTTCACAGAACATCTACGTTCTGCTCGCAAAAAAGACCCTGAACTACCCGTTGCCTGCCACTTCAATGCACCACCCTGCTCCCTGGCCAACATCTCTGTCTCCAGCTTGCTACAGTGTTCCAGTGAATCCCAACTCAAGCTGGAGGAACAACACCTCCTTTTTCGCTTGGGGACCCTACAGCCCTCCGGATTCCATATTGAGTTCAATCATTTCAGGACCTAAACTGTCCCATGTCCCAGCCCCCCACCCCACACACCAGGCCTTGTTACCACATAGCCTGCCACTATACACCCCCTGTTGTTAGTCACTAACAGTCCCCATTAACAACTACTCACCCTCCCAGCCTGATCGTTAGCAACTCCTTTGTCTGTCCGACTGTCTTTCTCTCTCTTTGGCCTCTATCCTATCGTTTATTCCCTACCCCACCCACCTCCCTATTTTCTGCATATAAACTGATGTTTTCTCAGCCACCATCAGTTCTGAGGAAGGGTCACCGGACCCAAAACGTTAACTCTGTTTTCTCCCTCACAGATGCTGCCAGACCTGCTGAGCTTTTCCAGCAACTTTGTTTTTGTTCCTGATTTACAGCATCAGCAGTTCTTTTGGTTTTTATAAAGCTGAGACCTTTGCTGATTACAGAAAGTTCAGCATTGGAGAGCAGAAGGTGCTTAGAATGGTGAATATCTGACAGAAGGTGGGGTTGGGGGAGGGGATAGAGTCAGAGGGGAGAAAGGGGGGGAAAGTTCCACAGGGCCATGGGTATCTCTGAATTGTTGCATCTTGTGGGCCTTGATGTCTGAAAGGACAAGGAAAAGGTTTCTTGTTGGCATGGCAAATGAGCTGGAGGATGAAGTGGAACTGTGGAGTAGTGCAGCCCTGAGCCAGCGTTACCAGTAAAAGGAACTATTACTTGAACGATAAAAAATTCCACCATGCTGCTGTGCAGAGGGACCTGGGTGTCCTTTTGCATGAATTGCAGAAGGTTGGTTTGCAGGTACAACAGGTAATTAAGAAAGCAAATGTAATTTTGTCCTTCATTGCTAGAGGGCTTGGGTTTAGAAACAGGGTGGTTATGTTGCAATGATGAGGCCACATCTGGAATACTGCATTCAGTTTTGGTCTCCTTACTTGAAAAAGGATATACTGGCATTGGAGGGGGTGCAGAGGAGTTTTCACTAGGTTGATTCCAGAGTTGAGAGGGTTGGCTTATGAGAAGAGGCTGAATAGACTGGGATTAAGTTCATTGGAATTTAGAAGAATGAGGGAGGATCTTACAGAAACAAATAAAATTATGAAGGGAATAGACAGGATAGAAGCAGGGAGGTTGTTTTCACTGGCAGGTGAGACTAGAACAAGAGGGCTTAGCCTCAAACTTACAGGGAGGAGATTTAGGGCTGAATTGAGGAGGAACTTCTTCACCCAAAGGGTTGTGAATGTGTGGAATTCCTTGCGCAGTGAACTAGTTAAGGCTTCCTCAATGAATGTTTATAAAACTAAGATAGATAGGTTTTTGAACAGTGAAGTAATTAAGGGTTATGGTAAGAGGGTTGGTAAGTGGAATTGAGGCCATGAAAACATTAGCCACAATCTTATTTAATCTTATCAGATGGCCTACTCCTGCTCCCGGTTCCGATGTTCCTCTATATTGGGGAAACGATACATAGACGGTAGCTAAGTGGAACTGAGGCCACAAAAAGATCAGCCATGATCTTATTGAATGATGGAGCAGGCTCAAAGGGCCAGATGGCCTACTCCTGCTCCTGGTTCTTATGTTTTAATGCCCAAACACTTCACCACATGCTCCAAGCAGAATATCATTTAACATATCTAATGCAAAACTATTGATGCTACATATTTCATTTTCAGTTAAAATGCAAGCCACTGAAATTTTGTTGTTAATTCTCATCTATCCTACTCTATATGCTGTCTGTTTCACCACGGAAATACAAACTATTCAATTAGTTGAGTTATCAAGGCCTTAAATCAAACATCATCTTGTGATTTAAGTTATTCTTTGATTTGACAAGTTCTTGTTCATTTTGCAGAATATGGTGCTGATCCAACTGTTGAAACTGATTCTGGATTCAATGCTATGGATATGGCTGTTGGGTTGGGTTTCAAGAATGGTAGTTACTAATTTTGATTTTATTATTTAATATAGTTGAAAATAAAAATTAAATCACTTCTGGATGTACATTACTCTTTTTTTCAAACACTGTGTTAAATATCCCCTCTATAAAAAAGATTCTCAACAAGCAGAGTGGAGTAATTGATGATACGTTGTTCCCTCCCTCACTTATAAATTGCTTGAAATCTGTGTGCAACAGGACAGCTTACAACATATTTCTAGTGGCTTCTAGTCAGCTACCATTGATACTGGGAGGATTAGGGAATTTATTATAGTTTCGTTCTCTGAATTTTTCTCTCATGCCACAAGCATGCTGCAACTTTTATTTTGACATATCTCTATATGACATGACTCCACTCAGAAACTAAGTTGAACAGGACATGAACCTGCACCTTTTGATCCCTCTAAATATTAGTCAGCTAGGGCACAATGCCATTCATCATCAATACAAATATTTTTAGTTTGTGTTATACTTGTTTCACTGACAGGTAGGGCCACTTTTGTATAATGTGCTGCAAAAAATACTACTGTTTTCTAATTAACACCTTCTACAGTTTTGTAGTGAAGGAAGCAGTTAGGTTCCCTGCATCATTCAGTCAAAGTTGGATCTATATCTGAGTATTTTTTAAGCTTCTTAATGAGTTCTTAAGCTACTTAAAATGGTTCTTAATAAGAGAGTTCAAAAGTACAATAGTGCTAATGAATAACATCAAGAATGCTTATCTTAAAATTAATTTTAATTTGGTGATGTGATTTAATACAATAGAACCTCATTCTTACAGATTTCTATGCATTTCTGTCATGTTCCATGAAAGTCACACTAGAAGATACAGCAGTGGTATACTGTTGTTAAGTATCCTAAATTCCTTAGTTGCCCCTGTATGAAACAATCATAACATCCATGAGGGTGACACGTTCCAGAGGAGACCGGACCTAACTGTGAGCTGACTTAGGAAAATGGCTCCCTGGTTAAACTTGTTCTTTGTTACCCAGTTGGCTTAAGAATGCAGAAGTATCAGCAAAAGTTTCAGAAATAAAGCAGCAAACTCAAATGTCACCATTTAAATAAATAATGATATGCCGTTTTAAAAAAAAAACAGAGTATCAAAAAAAAGACCAAATTAATTTAAACATTAAAATAACAGACAGCAATAACAAAAAATATTCTTCACAAAGATATTTGGAGGCATTGCATTCGTGATTAGACAGGTGGTCAGAAGGATAGCTTTGTCTTCTTTCTTGGTTGGCCTTGATCACAAATATACTATTAACTTCAACTTTGAAAACATCACTCACTGCTTGTTTTCAATATAGGCTGTGCAAGAGGATCCTGAGTCCATGTGTTTGGGAACTTTATTTTCTTTGAAAATTTGGGTTCTCTCTTTTTGAACAGCTCTGCAGTCCATTTGAAACAGAGCTTGAAGATAGCTCAAACTCTTTGCCAAAAATGATACTACCCGTCTGACCATAGTATCCTGAATATTGAACTCTGTCTACCTGGCTGTGAGACTGATTTTTAAATCCACTAGTTGTTTGAGTCAATTTCCATGTAGCCCTCGTTTGTAGAGCTGGAGAAGCAGCAACTGCAAGTTGGATTTTTCTTCTGAAATTCCACCCACTGCAGTAGTGTGGGTGCCTAACTGCATTGTACAAATGACTCCAACTTCAAAATTTGGGATGGAGTTAAAAGTCAAGGTAGACCAGTGGCTGAGATAGTAGGAACTGCAGATGCTGGAGAATCTGAGATAACAAGGTATAGAGCTGGATGAACACAGCAGGCCAAGCAGCATCATAGGAGCAGGAAGGCTGACGTTTCGGGCCTAGACCCTTCATCAGAAATGGGGGAGGGGAAGGGGGTTCTTAAATAAATAGGGAGAGAGGGGGAGGCGGATAGAAGATGGATAGAGGAGAAGATAGGTGGAGAGGAAACAGGTCAAAGAGGCAGGGATGGAGCCAGTAAAGGTGAGTGTAGGTGGGGAGGTAGGGAGGGGATAGGTCAGTCCAGGGAGGATGGACAGGTCAAGGGGGCGGGATGAGGTTAGTAGGTAGGAGATGGGGGTGCGGCTTCACAAACTTCACAAGCTTCAAAATCTCCCCTCTGCCTACCGCATCCCAAAACCAGCCCAGCTCGTCCCCGCCTCCCTAACCTGTTCTTCCTCCCACCTATCCCCTCCTCCCACCTCAAGCCGCACTCCCATCTCCTACCTACTAACCTCATCCCACCCCCTTGACCTGTCCGTCCTCCCTGGACTGACCTATCTCCTCCCTAACTCCCCACCTACACTCACCTTTACTGGCTCCATCCCTGCCTCTTTGACCTGTCTGTTTCCTCTCCACCTATCTTCTCCTCTATCCATCTTCTATCCGCCTCCCCCTCTCTCCCTATTTATTTCAGAACCCCCTTCCCCTCCCCCATTTCTGAAGAAGGGTCGAGGCCCGAAACGTCAGCCTTCCTGCTCCTATGATGCTGCTTGGCCTGTGTAGACCAGTGGCTGGTGGGTGAAGTTCTACACCATTACTTTTCCAGTAGCACAACAACTTGGCAAGAAATTTGGAGCTATTTTGTTAGGTATTTTGCATCTCTTTCTAGGAAAATTAGCAAACTAAATTGTTCGATGCAAAAATTTATCTGAGCTGTTTAGTTCCTCCATAACGTGCAGAATGTAATATTGATCCTTTGATTAACATTAGAAAAGTTTTGGTACTAGCAGTAACTATCTTGTGAGTAGCATTACTAAGCAGAACTTGGTCTTCCTGTTTTTTGTCATTTCTTTCTTGCTAGTGCATATTGTTAAGTAAATTTAATTATATCGTACTTCAAAATGTTGTATTCTTGCTTATTCTTTCTTCCTTGTTCATGAAAGCAGTATTGCACTGTTTATCTTAAAACAAAGGAACCAATCCATTTTCTAATTCAAGAATTTTTTCCTAGTTCAACAGGTTATTGAGGCTCATTTGCTGAAGTTGCTGTTGAAGATTAAGGAATGATAGCTGACACCTCTGGCAGTCACAGAAGAATCAATTATTTGAACTACTACATGCATCATCTGACTTCCTTGAGGGAGCGCTTGAAAATGTTTATATTTGACAATATATCGATCGATATTCTGATTGTAATTTAGGAATGGTGGAAGAAAGGAAAGATTATTCTTGATCCAAGTTTGATTGTGATGACTATAGACTTGCTGCTGGTGAACGTGACTCAAGGTTTGCTTTAAAATACATTTATTTAATAAATCGTCATCATTGAATTGGAAAATACGGCTCTGTTATCCAAGCGCCATAAATTGAGCCTATTTGTTTGAGGTACTGAAGGAAAGTTAGACACCAAGATTACTTCTGTGGGGCAAGCAGTAGAAGGTGTCCTTCTAACTACTTTATTATTGGGTAGGAACCTTAGTGAATAATCTTCAAATTATTTTGTAAACTCGCTTGTGATTTTTAGGAGCTTAAGATTTACTGATCAATGATCACCACCCCCCGTATCGCCTTTTGGGTTAGGGGTGAGGTGTGGTGAGAGTCTGCAAATGGTATTTCCTTAGGTGTGAAATGGCAAATGATAAATATGGCAATGGAAATTTAGAATTAGTTCACCCATCAATGGCACACTGGTAATCTGACACCTGAATAAAGCAAGTCTACAATGTAGACTATTAATCAGCCACTTTTTCTCATTGGTTGTGGACTTGTATTACTCAGGGAAAGTGGAAGCTGGCATTCCTGAGCCCTATTCCAGAGTGTCCTGTAAACCAGTCTCCCTGTGTATATGATGGTCCAAACTGGTCACAGTAAGAGGTTTACCTGTTAAACATGCTGTGAGACTCCATAGCCATAACTGGAAGAAATCTAGTTCCCAGTTCTATTCCTCCATATTCCATTAGGAAGTTGGACTAGCTGGTCAATCAGTAACACTCACTGTGGTACTATGTATAGCAATGTCTCAAAACCTTCACTCTGCTGATCAATGTTAAAGGTATCCAGAAAGGTGTTTACCCTGAAAGTTGGTTCCCATTCTTTGAAACAGACATTCTACATGGCTTAGAGAATTTTAAACATGATGGTGTTTCTGATCATTTCATACTTGTGGCCAACCTCTAACATTTTGACATTTTGGAATTTTGTTTCTATTTCTGAAATTGTCATCTTAATTTCTTGTTATTCTTAATTTCTCATTATTCTCCTCCTCCTTCCGAGCATGCAGTTTTCTAAAATCAGAAGAGGGTTAGCTTCCTATCACATTGAGATTTTTTTTTCTTTTATAATCAATTATTCTCAATATAGATCTTGCCTGTGTTCACCTGTGAGCAGACCTGCTATCTTACCTGCTTTCCTGAGCAATTTGATAACTCGTTCTTTCTCTCAGGATTTAAGGCAGCATGTATTAACTACATTATTTGGAGAATTCTAGCATAGAATTTACATGTGTGGCCCTGTTTGGTTAGAATAGTATCATCTTCACTAGGTTCAGTCATTATTTCACACTGGACTATTCCATCACCTTTAGTGCATTATAATTGAAGAATTGTAGAATTGTTTCATTGTGTCATTGACTTAAACTGTCTTTGATAATAATATAAAAAGAATATGTTTGAAAGTTGGCATTTTGTACATGTCTTGTGTCATACTTCTTTGTATTGTAAACTGTATTGAGCTTCTAAATTATTTTTTAAATTGAGTTTGAATATTGTTGTTCTGAATTTTCTGAACCGAGAGACTATACAAGGAGGAATAATCATCGAGTCAAAGATCACTGATTGTCCTGTGCATCAGCATCACCACACCATTTGCTGATTGACCAGTACTTGCTAATGTTATCAATGGCACCTTCCATTATGGCCCTTTCCTTTGTCCTTCAAAAATGCCACCATCATCCCATTCTCAAATGGTTTGTTTTGATTCCTCTGTCTCTTCCAACCAGCATTGTATTTCCAATAAAAACCGAAGGAACTGCAGATGCTGTTAATCAGGAACAAAAACAGAAGTTTCTAGAAAAGCTCAGCAGGTCTGGCAGCATCTGTGAAGAAAAAATCAGAGTTAATGTTTTGGGTCTGGTGACCCTTCCTCAGAACTGATTGTAGCTAGGAAAATGTCAGTTTATATGCAGAAAATAGGGAGGCGGAGGGGCTAAGGAGCAAATGAGAGGTGGGGATAGAGCCCAAAGAGAGAGAAGAGCAGTTGGATAGACAAAGGAGTTGATAACAATCTGGCTAGGAGGGTGAATAGCTGTTAATGGGGACTGTTAGTGACTAACAATAGGTAGTGTGTAATGGCAGACTGTGTGATAACAAGACCTGGTGTGTGGGGTAGAGGGCTAGGACATGGGAGGGTTTAGGCTTTAAAATTATTGAACTTGATATTGAGTCTGGAAGGCTGCAGAGTCCCCGAGCAGCAACTGAAGTGTTGTTCTTCCAGCTTGCGCTGAGCTTCGCTGGAACACTGCAGCAAGCCTGAAACAGAGATTTTGGCCAGGGAACAGGCAACTGGAAGCTCAGGGTGTTTTGTGAGCAGACCATTGATGTTCTGCAAAGCGGTCACCCAGTTTATGCTTAGAGGGGAGGGGAATATGTGTCTGGTGGTGGCATCACACTGGAACTACCGGAAATAGCTTCTGATGATCTTCTGGATGTGGATGCTGGTGGGATGGTAGTTAAGGACAAGGGGAATCCTATCGCTGTTGCGGGAGAAGAAGAGAGAGAGTAAGGGTAGAAATGCGGGAGATAGGTTGGACTCGGTTGAGGGCCCTGTCGACAACTGTGCTGGGGAGTCCTCAGTTGAGGAAGAAGGTGGACATTTCGGAGGCTCTCTTTGTCAAAGTTGGCCTCCTCTGAACATATGTGATGGAGACGGAGGAACTGAGAGAATGGGACGGAGTCTTTACAGGAAGCAGGGTGCAAGGATGAAAAGTCCAGGTAGCTGTGGGAGTTGGTGGGTTTATAGTGGATATCAGTAGTCAATCTATCCCTGAAATGGAAACAGATGTTGAGGAAGGGAAGGGAGGAGTCAGAGATAGACCAGGTGAAAATTAGGGCATGGTGGAAATTGCAAGTGAAATCGATGAACTTTTCCAATTCCAGATGAGAGAGGGAAGCAGCACTGATGATATCATTGATATATCAGAGAAAAAGTTGTGGGTGGGAGCTGGAATAGGACTGGAACAAGGAATGTTCCATATACACCACAAAGAGACAGGCATAACTGTGGCCCATGTGGGTACCCAAGGCTACCCCTCTGACCTGAAGAAAATGAGAGGTGTTGTTGAGGGTGAAGATGAACTCAGGCAAGCAGAGGAGGGTGCTGGTGGGTGGGGTCGGTTCAGGCATTTGCTCCAGGAAGAAGTGTAGACCTCTAAGACCATCCTTTTGGGGGATGGACGTGTCAAGGGAATGCACGTCCATGGTGAAGAGGAGGTGGCTGGAGCCTACAAACTGGAAGTTTTGAAACTGGCATAAAGCGTCAGAGAAATCATGGATGAATGTGGGCAGGAGCTGGACCAGGGGAGGGAAGAATGAGTCAAGGTAGGTAGAGATCAGTTCTGTGGGACAGGAGCGGGCTGAAACAATGGGTCTGCCCTGACAATCATGTTTGTGGATTTTTGTAAGGAGGTAGAAGTGAGTTGTGTGGGGCTGGGGGACTATCAGCTTGGAGGCAGTGGTAGTGGCAGCTCACCAGATGAAATGAGATCAATTACTGTTGTTGATACAATGGTTTGATGTGTCATTGTAGGGTCGTGGTCCAGAGGAAGGTAGACGGAGGTATCTGAGAGCCAGCACTGAGCCTGTGCAACACAGAGATCAGTACGCCAGACTACAACAGCACCACCTTTATCGACAGGCTTAATAACAGTCAGGGTTAGATCTAAGCGCATGGAGTATAGCCAGTTCAGGTATGTGTGTTAACAACAATTGCCACACTTAACACTATTTGTGCTGCTTCTATGACATCAATAAAAATTGGAGTTGAGGCCAAGATGAGATCAGCCAAAATCATGTGAAATGGTGGAGCAGGCTCAAGTGGCTGAATTCCTACTCCTGCTCCAAGTTCTTATGTTCTTATCAGTGAAGAGTGCAGGAGGGCATGCCAGCAGCAGCACTAGTCATATCTAAAAACGAGATGTCAACGTGGTGAAGCTACAGAACAGGATTATGTCATACCTAACAGTATATGCAGCAAGTGATAGACAGCTGAGAGGGCGCAACAAACAGATCAGAATTAAGCTCTGCAAACCTGCTACATCCAAACATGAATGATGGTGGATAATTGAACAACTCACTGGAGCAGCAGGGTCCACAAACATCCCCATCTTTAATAATGAAGGAGTGCAGTGCATCAATGGAAAAGATAAGGCTGAAGCATTTGTAACAGTCTTCAGCCAGAAGTTCTGAGTTGATGATCCACTCAGGAAATCCCCACCATGACAGATGTCAGCCTCTGAACAATTTGATTTTCTTGATATCAAGAAATGGCTGAAAGCACTGGATACTTCAAAACCAATTAGCCCTGACAACATTTGACAATAACATTGAAGACTTGCACTCTAGAGATGGCTGTGCCCTTGCAAAGCTATTCTGGTACGGCCATAACAACAGCATCTACTTGACTAAGTGAAAAGTTTCCTAGATATGCCCTGTACACAAAAAGTAGGACAATTCTGACCCAGCTAATAACTGCCTCAACAGTCTACTCGTGAGCATCACTAAAGTAATGGAAAGTCTCATCAATAGTGTTATGAAACAGCACGAGCTTAGCAATAACCTGCTCACTGACACTTGGTTTGGGTTCCGCCAGAGCCACAGATCCAACTTCATTAGAGCATTTGCTCAAACATAGACAAAACAGGTCAATTCCAGATGTGAAGTGGGACTGACTGCTTTGACATTGAGGCTGCATTTGATGGAGTGTAGTATTTAGTAGCCCTTGCAAAACTAGAAATCAATGGGAATCAAGAGGAAGCCTTTCTGTTGGCTGGAGTTATACATGACACAAAGGAAGATGGGCGGCATGGTGGCCCAGTGGTTAGCACTGCTGCCTCACAGAGCAAGGGACCTAGGTTTGATTCCACCCTCGGGCGATTGTCTGTGTGAAGTTTGCACATTCTCCCTGTGTCTGCATGGGTTTCCTCCCACAGTCCAATGATGTGCAGGTTAGGTGGATTGGCTATGCTAAATTGCTCACAGTGTTCGGGGATGTGTAGATTAGGTGGGTTATAGGGGGATGGATCTGGGTGGGATGCTTTGAGGGTCAGTGTGGACTTGTTGGGCCAAAGGGTCTGTTTCCACAGGGATTCTATGAAAAGATGAATGTAGTTGTTGGAGGTCAATCATCTCAGCTATAGAACATATCTGACCCATGGAGTGTGCCAGAAGCTGTTGAGGAATGCTGGTCAAGATGGAGGCCCAGAGGACCTGGAGCTTCCAGGTGCTTGCTTTGACGTTGATATCAAAAATTATCATGATTTAGTTTCACTCTGTCGCATGGGAGAATGGTAATTTACATGTAAATGATAATGGTAATAGTAAGATATAAATTTATGCAAGTGTGCCCCTCCCGCTGGCTAGTGAGCTTCTTGACTCACTGTTAAAACCTTGGGTGGAAAATTCGACTTCTTTTCTCAACATTGAGAATCTCATTTTTCTGACCTCGCCATATTTTCCCAACTGATTTGCCTTTGTCATTCAGTCATTGGGCAGACTCCATTCATTGTAAGAAAATAATACATCCATTTGACCTGTTGCGGCAGTTTCTTACTGATTGACTATCCATTAACCCCAGGCATATACTCTTTCTAGCCATGCATTTTTTCATATGTATACATACAATTACCTTTTGAAAGTAATTATTGATTCTGCTTTCTCCAATCTTTCAAGCAATGCATTCCAGATTATAATTATGTGTTTTTTGTATTTATCTTCATTCTGGTTTTTTTTATTTATCCCTTAAGTATGTGTTGGCTGATCATGTACCTTCAATTGTCAATGCCCTGAAGGTGTGGAAAGTGTGTGGGGACCAATAATTAACTCACCTTGTGTGTACTATAACGAGCCCTGTTTCAGACAACTGGATGGTATCAGCTTTATTTTGATTTGGATATGAAAGGAAATACAGAAATCATATTTCACAGAACAAGTAAGGTTTAGGTCTCATTTATCTCTTTACGCCAGAGCTAGAAAGCTAGAAAGAAACCTAGCTAGAAGACAAGAGGCCCGAAACGTCAGCCTCTCTGCTCCTATGATGCTGCTTGGCCTGCTGTGTTCATCCAGCCCTGCACCTTGTTGTCTCGGATTCTCCAGCATCTGCAGTTCCTACTATCTCTAGCTAGAAGACACTTTGCTTTAGTAACAAAGTACAGCACAGTGTTCACAGTGTTCCCTGTAATTATCAGTAAGTATCTTTAATGCTACTCACTCAATTTGGATTATTTGTTCATCCTGTAATTTTTCATTTTACACTGGGTGTATTTCATATTCTATTGGCCAAATTGTTCATATGGACCACAAAAGGCAGGCTTTAGTTAGTTGGAGCAATACTTATTACAGTTATTCTCCACCTCGGCTTACCTGTATACAAGTATAGGTAAATTAGATTCTATTTATCTAAATAAATCTTATGGCTTCATTATTACTAAGAGATATTTAAATCTCTTTAATGTGAAATCTCAAACATGGAAAAATGCACTCT